GGGTTGTCATTAACGTCAGTGATGCTGACAGAGATCATTTTCTTACTCGAGAGAGGAGGAGAGCCTGCATCACTGGCTGTAATCTCAATGTTGTATTCAGACGTACTCTCTCGGTCTAAAACACCACTGGTGACCAGCGCGTAATTATTAGAAAAGGATGGTTTCAGAGTAAAAGGGGAATCTGTGGGAAGATTTAATTTCACGTCACTATTTTTACCAGCGTCAGGGTCACGTACACTCAGCAAAGCTACAACAGTCCCAATAGAAGAGTCCTCTGGAATGGAACTAGGCTTAGAAGTTAACAGAATTTCAGGTGCATTATCGTTTACATCTGTTACATCAACCTGCACGCTGCAATGACCTTCCATTTTTGGAAAACCTTTATCTTTTGCACTAATGTCAATTCGATAAGAGGCCTGTTTTTCACGGTCCAAATTATTTTTTAATAATATATCTCCACTAACAGGGTCAATATGAAATAATGCCAGCACTGATGGTGGCGTGTGTATGCCGAGAGAGTACTCTATTTCACTGTTTGGACCATCGTCTATGTCTGTCGCCTTTGTTGTAATGACAAAAGAGCGATTTGGGCTGTTCTCTTCAACAGATATTTTATATAATTTCTTTTCGAAAGAAGGTACATTGTCATTAACGTCAAGAACTTTTATTCTAATTTTTGAAGTTCCTGATTTAACAGGATTGCCACCATCCAAAGCTGTCAGAATTAAATTATGAACAGCTTTTTTCTCACGATCTAATGATTTATTTAACACTAACTCGGGCGTTTTTATTCCATTGTCAATCTCTCTAACTTTTAATGTGAAACATTCGTCTTTGCTGAGCGTGTATGTCTTGACTGTGTTACTTCCAACATCCGGATCCTCTGCACTCTGCAGGGGAAAATTGACACCTACAACGGTGAGGGAGCACACAGTTGGCGCTTTGTCCACACAAAGCCTCTCTGTCTATTCTGTCGCTGACCAGCAGCTCGCCCTTCCCCGCATCCACGCTGAAATACTGCTTACCAGCCTCGGAGGCGACACGCAGCTTGCGCTCAAATATCTCAGACAGCCCCAAAGACAGATCTTTGGCCAGATTCCCCACCACGGAACCTTGCTCGAGCTCCTCGGGGATGCTGTAACGAGTCTGCGCATCCACTGTAGTCCACAAGAGAAAATGCCACAAAAGAGCTCGCCATCGCCAGTCTCGGTTTCCTATTGTCTTTGTCATCCTTCCTCCGCTACGACGCAAAAATCCTCATCAACATCCTCTTCACGGCATTTGCTCCATCCATACATAGGGGGGATAGTTCGAGAAAAACACCTCAAGCCATCTAGGCACAACTACCGAATAGCAATTCGTTTCAATGTTCAGATATTCGAGCTGATTCCTTTCTGTCTGTGCCTCCGCTCGGTGCAATCGACGTGTGAGATGAAGCTGCGTGCAGGGGGCAGGGACGAGATTGCTTTGTACAGTCTTCAATTCTATTGGTTCACGGCTCTCACTTCCACCAACCAATCAGAGGGAAGCTGATCCTCATTCACTCTTAAAGTCACAGCCTCCCCACGCCTCCCTTCAAGCATTCGTATTAATATTATTTTTTTGGGGGGGGGGGGCAATTGTGACAATATCAACATAAATATATTTTAGTCACTATGACTATGTATGAAACATTAATAATTATCAATATTTGAAAGCTGTGTTTACATGTACAGTACAATATTAGACAGAATGAAATTCAACAGCAACAAATAAAAACGAAACACTTGCTTTTATTCTGAAACGTGCAGTTGCTGCATTTAAAAGAATCCTGTCAACCCTTTCAGGCGTAAAATATTTCCCGAGAGGATTAGTGCATCAAACTACCAACATTTGCTGCTTTCAAACCAGATCACATTAAAACGACGGTGCAACAACGAGCACTGCACACAACAGAGATGGGCCGTCAGATATTGTGCTTCATCGACTGAGCTCTTCTTGAGTTCCGTTTTTCTGTTTCGAAACAGAAAAACGGAACTTAAGATTCGTCCGAAGCTACTATTCATGCAGGTTAACCCTCATATCAGTTGAATTGTTAAGACCCAATCATTTGGTGCTACTATTAAAGGGCGACGATGTACTGCTGTTTACTCCAATATAACAAGAAGCAATTACCTAAGTAAGTACACTGAGCGTTACTGAATGTAGAAGAGATTTTCATGTTAAGAATGTAGCCGACTATTGCTGGGGGGATCTAATGAGAAAAAGAGTTAAATTACAAGAAATGAACGAATCTAAATTTAAATTAAAGGAGATACGGTCATGTAAAACAAATAGAACAAAACCATGTTGTTGCTGCCACTGTGACGTCAGGAGTGGGACTAACTGTATGCAAAAATAACAATTAAGATGCTTACATGAGCAGAGAGTAACTAATTAAACCATTGTTCAAACATGTAGGCTCGGGCCCACGGGTGCCCAAACTTTTTGGACTTTAGATCTACTTTTCGATCAACCACCCTCCCGCAATCGAACTGTTGCCGCGCACACGGACGCGCACACGCATACGGACGCCATATTAGCAATAGCCATAACTGCCGCTAAGATGTCCGAAATATAAACATAAAGTAGGGACAAGAGTTTGAGTTTGTTCAGAGGAAATCACTGCCTACCTGAGTGGGAGACCTGATGCGGAGGTATGCGACGCACTTTTGCAGCCTGTTAACTATCGTGGCTCACGCGTACCGTTTTAAAACGCTTCTCTCGGCCCTCCAGATTGCCATTCTTTGCAAATGCCATCAGTAAATTGTACACGAAACGAACTTTGACGAATAAAAATAATTATTATTAGTATAGCTTTTATAATAATAATAATTCGTATTATTATTATTATATTAATAATGATTATTTTTATAAAAGCTATTTCGCAACAGCTCTGACCGCAAGCTGCAATTGCAAACTTCTGAGCCCGAACAACTTCCTGTGACGCACGTCACACGCCACCGTAAGTTAAAGGTGACCTGGTGAATTTGATTTTATTTTTTTAAAGAAATTTGTGAAAGTGAGACTGATATAATTATTAGGGTGTAGTGTGCATTAACACAAAAAAAAAATATATATATATTACTAACATGCACAGAGACACACAAAGTTTGCTTGTTTTATTCAACGCCCCTTGCGAGCTATCTGTCGATCACGATCGACGTAATGGAAACCCCAAGCCGCGAGTGGATGTGCATCAATGTGAATTTTCAACCTTCATTCACCAAATTAAAATTTAAACCGCCGTTTGGGTAACAATTATTGCTCATGCACAAAACTGAGAGGCAAGAAGGTAAGATCACAACAATATGAGGCAATTGACAAAACTGTGTGCAGTAATAATCGAGTTAAAAAAGAATCAATGATTAAAAAAAATACAACTGTGGGAAACTTTGAAGATTGTTTTGCATTCAAATACTGCTGAATTGTTACTAAATGCAACTGTAAACTTACTTCACTCAAGCTATGACAAGTGACAGCAGCAATAAGTGAACACAAATTGTAAATACGTATCCTGAGAATGGATCACTACTAGTTGAACAAAAATAAGGGAAACGTTGAAATGGCAATGAGGTGGAATGCTCTGAGTTCCCCTTGAGTGCAAACTAAAGTAGCACTCACCTGCTGGCTCTCAAAGGTCCAGGTGCTGTCAGGCAAAGAAGCATCCAGGACGCTGATGACCTCCTTAAAGTCAGTGGTGCTACTGGGCTTGACCAACGTGAAATCACTGTACTCCGACATGGGAGACATGCACGACCGGAAGGAGTGACTCTGAGACATGACGTCTCCTCC